CAGGAGGCAGAGGCAGGCCTGGTCTATACAGAAAAAGGAGGGGGGCACTGGAGAAATGACTCAGCAGTTAAAAGCACTGGCTGCTCTTGTAGAGGACCTGGGTTCAGTTCCCAGCACCCACATGGGGGCTAACAACCCTCCCTAACTCCGGTTTCAGGGGAATCTGACACCCTCTTCTGGCCTCCACAGGCATTGCATGACACAGGGTGCACTTACATACATGCAGACAATACACTCATACACAGAAAATCAAAATAATAAATAAAATATATACATTTTTTTAATCCCAGCTGAATAAATCCAAAAATAGTGAAAAGCATGATTTAGGCACAGCCGACAAGCTCAGTTGTGAGGGTCGCTAGCAGAAAGAAAAATCGCATCGCAGCTGTGTTAAGAGGACACATCTCTGCTAGAAAACCAGAGGTGACTGGTCTACTCCAATTTGGACTGGTTGGCTTCCACTACTACTAGACTGTGCTGACTTCTGGGAGCTCACTCTGATGGAGTCTACTAGGCCCCCTCCATCCTCCTCCCTTCTGCTCTGTGTCTGCTGAAGAATATGTAGAAGCTGGCCCCTACATACCCAACTCCCTTGCCCTGGTGGCATCCTACTGTGTTCAAAGAGAAGAAGAAAAAGCATGTGTTTTTGTTGCACCACCCTCTCCTGCACATTCCTATTTTCCTTCTGACTGAAGCTCCTGTTGGACGACCCCTCTTCCAAGCTGGGCCTGCAATACAGGTCTGTAATCCCACCTATTCAGAGGCTGAGGCAGGAAGATCAAAAGTTCAAGGACAGCCTGGACAACTTAATGATATTCTGTCTCAAAGTAAAAGAAAAAAATTTAAAAGGGCTAGGAGGGCTGGGAAGATATTTCAGTTGGTAAAGTGTTTACCACACAAGCATGAGAACCCAAGTTCAGATCCCCAGGACTTACTTAAAAAATAGAGCATGCCATGGATTAATGCATCTCTGAACTCTCACCAGAGAAGCTTCCTCATGCAGCAGATGGTGATTAACCCAGACCCACAACTGGCCAATGTGTAGAGAATAAGAGATTGCAGAGTGCTTATCCCTGAATAGGACACCTATTTCAAACTTCTGCACCCAAGACTCAGGGATCACCGCAGAAGAGGGAGTGGAAAGGTTGTAAGAGCCAGAGGTGGCAGATGATCACAAGGAAACAGTTTTCCAGACAGCTGGGTTACTCATATGAACTCACAGCAATGGTGACAGCATGCACAAGATCAACGTAAACTCAAGCCAGACAAAGTCCCCACACAGAAGTAGGGAAGTGAGGAAGAAACCAAACCCCAACCCTAGCTGAGGAATTATTGGCAAGTAATGGCTGCTGGGAGTGGGGGAGGGTCAGTCTTCTTTAAGGGTGTGACTCTGGGTAAGTTAACCAGGCCCCAGTGGACGGACCTACACCAAAAGGCATTTGGAGACACAAATTTGACAGACCTCAGAATGTATACCCATATATAACAGAGTACATGAAATCTGGCAGGGGGGTACGAAGGGAGAACAGATAGGACAGGGTGTCTAAAAATGATCGAAATATATTGTACAAAATTTGCAAAAAATTTTAAACTTAAGAAAAAAGTGGGGCATGGGGTATGCTGCAATCCTAGCACTGGGAGGATCCCTGGAGCTTGCTGGCCAGACAGTCTAGCCAAACTGGTGAACACCGGATTCAGTAAGAGACCCTGTCTCCAAAAAGAAGTAAAATAAAATTAGGTGGAGGACTAGAGAGATGGTTCAGCAAGCAAAGGTGCTTTCTGACCAAGCCGGTTGACCTGAGTTCAATCTCTGGAACCTACATAAGGTAGAGGGAGAGAGGGGACTCTACAAAGTCAACTGACCTTCACGTGCACACTGGGGCATATGTGTCCATATGCACAGATAATAATAATAATAATAATAATAAGGCTGAGAGCAATTGAGTGAGGAAGACACCAATGTCAGCTTCTATCCTCAACCTCTGTATACACACACACACACACACACACACACACACACACATACATACACACACACACACACACACACACACACACATACACACACACACAGAGCAGAGGAAGAGGGCTCAGTGGTACAGAGCTTACCTAGTGTGCATGAGGCCCTAGGTTTACTCCCAGGACTACAGAAAAAAAAAAAAAAAAGCAAAGTCAAAGGTCCAGGTCCTAATGGGTTCCAGTAGCTTACCGGTTTCTTTAGGCATGGGGTAGTGACATCTTCCACTTGTTGCTAGCCCTTTCAAGTGTGTCTAACCTGTGCCTATTTGACTATGCACAGTCAAGGGCAGCTTCGTGTAGCACAACACAAAATCATAAACGTACTTAAAACAATACAAAGACTTTTGTGATTTGGTGTGGGGGATTAAGGAGGATAACTAGATTATGCAGTTCTTGATCATGTGACAATGTCAGAAGGCTGGACATCCCTGGGATGACAGCATCTCTTCCTGGTTCTTTTAGTCTTGCTGACAGCTCTGTAAATAACTCCTTCACTAATTATTGTCAAAATACCAACTATGTTGACTTTCTGTTTCCTCAGGCACTCCAATAAATGGGAGACAAGATGCCAGAGAGTCTTAAGATCATATCCCTAAGGACCAGCTGGAGGGACAGCAGATGCTCGGCCTGCTCAGGAGAAGACTCCAAAGAGCAACATAGGCTCTTTGGAAAAGAGTGAATGGCCACATCAGACTCCAAGATAGTAGCAGGTACAAAGCGACCTTCTTTAGGTTAATTGTAAAAGTAGGATGAGCACTCCTGGCCAGTTATGAATGCCAGTGAGTCCAAGCTGCCAATTTTCAGGTGGATGAGCCCATATCAAGAACACTGTAGGAAGGAGGCCAATCTAGAAAAAGGGATCTCCAAGCCAGACCTCCACTTCTGTGGTTTCAGTGAGCTCCAGTCAACTGGGGTTGCAAAGTAGTAAATAGAAAATTCTGGAAATAATTCCTAAATTGTAAATTGTAAACCACTCTGATTAGCATGATCAAATCTCCAATCTTCCCACACCTTGCCTGGGACAGGACTCATCCTCTGTCCAGTGGATCCATACTGTACAAGAAGCTACCTAGTGTTGGCAACTTAGTAGCCACCTTTGGACTGGCTCAAGTGTCAGACAGAGTGTCCCAGACCTGCAGTGCCTGTCATGGTGTCTCGGTCACTCACTCCATCTCATCCCCCGTCATCACAAGGGTATATACAGTACAGTAAGACTTTTCCAGACAGATTATATTCATAAAACTTTTATTATAGCATATTGCTAGAACTGTTGTATTTTTTACATTAGTTACTGTTGTTAACCTCTATTTATTATTATTATGTGTGTATTACGGTATATATGAGCGTTCATGGGCAGGTCACAGGTCAACTTCCTGGAGTTGGTTTTTCTCCTTCCACCTTTACATGGGATCAGACTGAAGTCACCAGGCACACGTGGCAAGTGGCTTTACCCATGGAGCCATCTCACTGATCCTATTATTAACCTGTTATTGAGCCTACCATACAAATTAAACTTTACCACAGGTAAGTACAAGACAAAACATTCTATATACCAGGTTCAAATTTTGGCCATCCACTGGGCATCTGGGATGAATTCCACTACAGCTAAGAGGAAACCAAAGTGATAAAACTACAGGAAAACTTGGGGATTGTGTTTTCCTGACTTTTACTGCAATCTAGAAGAACATTTAGCTCTCAACACCAATGTTGCTTTGGGACAATGAGACTGTGAGACTTATTTGCTAATTCTCAACACCAAAGTTGCTTTGGGGTAATGAAAACAAGAAACTTATTTCACATTTCCGTCCAGCTTTTGAAAGGGTGAGCTGGAATCCACTGACCAGTCTTCTGTAAAAATCTGATTATAACTCAGCAGTAGAGCGCTTGCCTGACTGCCCAAGGACCCAGGTTCAATCCCCAGTACCCCAAAAAGGAAAGGAAAGAAACTAAATAAACAAATAAGAAGTCAGGCCTGGTGGGGCAAGCTTGTAGTCTCAACTACTCTGGAAGCTGGGGCAGGAGGACCACAAGGATAGCCTGGGCAACTTAGGCAGTGTCTCAAAAGAAATACAAGACCGCTGGGACCTGGGACCGAGGCTCAGTGGCACCTGGGACCGAGGCTCAGTGGCGGAGCCCTTGCTTGCATACATGAGGCCCTCTAGGTTCAATCCCAGCACTGAGAGAAAAACAAACCATTTTAAACTCACACATCCATCACTACAATGATTTTTGAGAGCTATCACCTAATTTTTCACACTCCAAAGCAAGTTGCAAAATCTGCCCACAGGACAAAATAGTCAGCATAGAAACTACCCCGGAAACAAATAAGATCGCTTCCATTCACCGTGATGGGGAAAAGAAAGTGAGTTTTGTAAAAGCCGGGAACGGAACGCCCTGAGTTCACAGCCGGGTCACGGCCCATGGTGCAGTTTGAATCTAACCCAGGTGTGCTGAAAGTGTATCCTTCTCCACCGTGCCGCCAGAACAGCGCATTCTTCTCTCAGTCAACAAACGTTTGATACGGACCAACCCATCCACACAAGCCCAGGGGACCCGCGAGCGATCCAAAGAGGCCAGCTCTGCAGCAAAGAAGGCCTCCAGCCAGGCTGGAAACGACCGGACCGCGGAGACCAATGAAGGCGAAGAGCGAAGCGTGACGGCGCCCAGAAAACTTTCCGCAGAAACTCGGGGAATGCCAGCCCTGGGGCGCGTAGAGGGCGGGGACAGCGGCCTCGGGAGGACGCGGGAGACCAGCTAGGGCCGGCCGGAGCTCCGGGACTCCGGCCTGCGGGGACCTCGGCCTGCTCTCGAGCCCGGGAGGCCTGCCTGGCCCGGGACGCGGGGACCCAGCGCGGGGCTCCGGGAGGCGCGCACACCCGGCCACGCGCCCTACCCCGCTGAGCACCCGCCGCGCGCCCCGGGTCCCCAGACGCCCCCCAACCCCGGCTCCCCAAAGTGCCCGCGGCCTGGACGCCTCTCACCTTCCTTGGCTTTCTTCCTCCGGGCCAGGGTCCCTCCGAGTTTCCCCAAGAACGAGTCATCTTTCTTGCGGGACGGAGGCGACTTGGGGGTGGGGGATTTGGGGACCGAGGGCGACTTCTGCGGGGAGGTGGCCATGGCGGCGGCGCGCCGAGCCGGACGCGGAGCTGGAGCTGGGCGGCCGCAGCGGGCGGCGGCGGGACTGAGGCTGAAGCTTTCCAAACGGAAGCGGAATTATTCCAGGCATTTGAGGCAGCTCGCTCGCCTCTCCCGTCCCTCGCTCCCTCCCTCGCGCCGCCCTCCGCCCTGCGAGGAGCTGCTGCGCCTAGGGCCCGTGCCCGGGCTGCCCGGGCTGCCCTAGCTGTGAGGATGCCCAGGCCTGCCGCTTGCAGGAGGACATGCATGCGGGGACCTGCATACAGGGGGCTATGCATGCGGGGACCTGCATACAGGGGACTATGCATGCAGGGACACATGCATACAAGTATGTATGCATGCAAGGGGACATGCATACAAGGAGACAAGCATGCAGGGGGACATGCATTCCAAGGTAACTGTGGGGGGGGGCAGGGAGTGAGATGCACTTGCTGGCAGCCCTGGAGCCTAGAAACTTCATTTCCCTCCTGCTCCAGGAGCACAGGGTCCTGGCAGAAATCAGGATCCGATGGGAATCAGCCCTGTTACCCTACCTCCCTACTGGGATGTGCTTGCTCTTCCCCAGCATGGGTCCCTTTATGGTTAGCACTCCCATGTCTTGTGTTTGTGGGAAAGCCAACTCCTGGAAGAAACTCCTGGGGTTTGTCAAGATGGGCTCAGGCGCCACCAAACTAAGCTGTCAACCGTTTCTGCATGAGTCCATGGCCTTCTGCCTCCTCTCCATCCAACTTGAAGACTGAGAAGTTGAAAGCAAATGAGGGCAGGGGCCCAGCTTACTCCTGCAAGGCATCTTAATGGCTTGTAGGAAAGGAAGATTCCAGCTATAAGTCCACCTTGGGGAACCAATGAGTTTATTGTGTTTACTTACAGATCCTGAGTGAAGGATTACTTACAGGGGTGTGGGTACCCCTCCAGCAGAAAGTCTCACCCTAGCATGGATGACAGACAACTTCCCCAAAGCTGTATAGATGGAGTCTCCCACTTTCAAAGTCTGTATATTCTAGCACTCTCAGACACTATGAGTCCACATGCAATTAGGACAGAATTACATCTGACCAAGAGGTGCAGGAGAGAGTGACTGGACTCTTCAAGTGAGTCCAGTGACTCTTCCAGTGACCCACCCCCTTCTTCTAGGAGGGAATGCCAACGGGCTGGGTTTCTTGCAAATAGTCAAAGCTGCTTAGATAAACTGAACATCAGATTCAAAGGAAAGGGAGCTTTCATTACAGTTATCCTGATGCCCCTAACCTAACAGAAGAGTCAAGATCTATGCTGGTCTGGGAAGATTCCTATACCACCCCACCACTCCCATACATCTGAAAGGAAATGGTGGGAAACCACAGTGAAGTTGTGTTTTGATCACATCACTAATGGTTCTTGTGCAAGACTAGATACATGAAACCATCATTCTCCAGCCTACGAGCTCTGAGCAGGGAGTTACAGTCAGGCAGCTCAGAAACCACACAATCATGGGAAAATGGGGATTCCTTTTCTCAATCTTCATTTCTTCCTCTTCAAAATAAAGTGGTGGCTAGCTGGGTGTGGTGGCACATACCTTTAATCCCAGCACTCGGGAGGCAGAACCAGGTGGATCTCTGTGAGTTCCGGGCCAACTGGGGCTACAGGGAGTCCCTGTATCAAAAACAAAAAAAGTAAAAAAAAAAAAAAAAAAAAAAACCAAATTAATTAATTAATCAAATAAAGTGGTAGGAACAGAATACTGTCTGTCAAACCTGATGGAGCACTGAAATCTTTGTTATAAGCTTTAACAAGTGCCATCTCTGGAGATTCTGAGTCGTCAGTACATGAAATGTCACATCAAGTGATGTCAATATAAGTGACCCACATGTTTACATTGAGCATTTAAGGCTCCCTCTGGCTCTAACATTCTATGGATCTCTTCACAAATTGCTGATAAGTTTCTGTATGTGGGGCATAGATCTAAAACATGACACACTCAAGATTACCCATGAAAATCCCTGAAGTTGCCCAGGTATGTTTTTATCTAGACCACCCTCCTTGGAAACTGTTATGGGTTTCTAATGAAAATTTGAAAAACCACCAAGCAAAGCTAACGGGAAGGAGAGTCTTGATCATCAAATGCTTCCATCACAACTGTGCAGGAACCAAAGCTGAACATGTATGCAGATAAGGGGGGCTCTTCCTTGGAAGAGTCTTGGGTATTGGAGTGGGATAGTAAGATATGTCTACTTATAAGGTTCAGAAGCAAGTTGAGACCAGCCTTTCAGTTGGAGAGCTGATTAAGTTTGGCTAAGGATCATGATAAGATGTCCAGGATTGGTGAACTCTTGGTGAAGCTGACAGAGTTTTGGGTAGTAAACAGTATTTTTTTTTTCTTTTCCCACAGAGTCTTGGATATTCCACTCTGGCCCCTTCTGTTATGTAGCTGACGATGACCTTAAACATCTTGTTGTTACTGTTGTCTTTGAAACGGTCTCTCTGTAGCCCCAGGTGGACTTGAACTTGTTATATAGACCTGACTGGCTTCAGTCTCACAGAGATCCATCTGCCTGTCTCTGCCTTTTTGGTGCTAGGATTTCAGGCATATGCCACTATGTCGAGTTTATTTTATGCTCATTTCTTTTTTTTTTTTTTTTTGGTCTTTTTGAGACAGGGTCTCTCTGTAGCCCCAGCTGTCCTGGAACTCACTATGTAGACCAGGCTGGCCTTGAACTCACAGAGATCCGCCTACCTCTGCCCCTCAGTGCTGGGATTAAAGGCGTGTACCACCACACCCAGCTGCTCATTTCTTTTCTTAAAAAAAATATTTTTGTTATTTTTATTTGAAGTATATGAGTGTATTGCCTGCATGTATGTAAGTGTACCCGTGTCATGCAGTGTGCTCAGAGGTCAGAAGATGGCATCAGATCCCCTGGAACTGGAGTTACAGATGGTTGTTAGCTGCCATGTGGGTGCTGGGAATCGAACCCGGGTCCTCTGCAAGAGCAGTCATTGCTCTTAACTGCTGAGCCATCTCTTTGGCCCCTTATGCTCTTTTCAATGAGACTTGGGGGTGGGGGTTTCTTCAAAGAACAATAAAGTTATTTAAACTTTTGTCATCCTGGCAAGAGGAGTTTTGCTTTTTTGAATGATAGAGGAGTGAGCTGGACTTGATGGCTCATGCCTGGAATCCCAGCACTTGGGAAGCAGAGACAGGAGAATTGTCATGAGTTTGGAGCTAGCCTTGTCTATGTATGTGTTTCTAGTCATCCAGGGCTACAGAGTGAGACCCTGTCTCAAAAGAAAATATAGAAGGGTTGAAGCCAGCAACCTGTCCTGGTATGAATGATCTATAAGAGCTCAGGTTACTCAAATCTTGCTTTTCAATCCTTTAATTATCTGTCTCTACAAAGGCTAATGGGAAATGGGTGGTGGGTTACAAATCTGTATCACGCAAAGTGTAGTCCAATGACCAGCATTAACTTAGATCCTCTTAGATTAGTCTGCAAAGATATCAGTATAGAAATTGTGATTTTAAAAATTCCGATAGTAATCTAACAACATAGCTCGGTGCGGTGTCTGTCTAATAACAAAACTGCAAGCTTATATTATGGATGTCTTACCATTTTTCTAGTACTTCCTTCTTATTTTATTTCACAAAACTGCTGGTCTGTGCTGGATCTGTCCTTTTCTGTAGATCCCTTGAGAAGCACTGTTTTGCTCCTTTTTGCTTACAGAGTTCATACAGTTTCTTTTATTCTTTTGGCACAATCCTTTTAGAATCTTTTTGGCTGTATATGGATCTGGATCTGGTGTTAAATTAAGTGAGATAGGGCTGGAGAGATGGTTCAGTGGTTAAGAGCACTGGCTGTTCTTGCAGAGGACCCGGGTTTGAGTCCCAGCACCCACATGGTACCTAACAACCATCCGTAACTCCAGTTCTAGGGGATCCTATGCAGGCATTGCATGACACAGGTGCACTTAAATACATGCAGGCAATACACTCATACACATAAACAATAAAAATAATCAATAATATAGATATATTTTTAAATCTAGCTGCATGACTAAATGTCTACCCCAACATGGGTGATGCTCACACACACTGCATCCCTGGGGCTCCCTGAAGGACTTGTAGGCAACTCAACAGGTCGGAGTCCCCTCTCTCCATCAGTTGTTACTGCTTGTAGAACCTTGAGGAGGGGCCTTGTCAATCTCATAAGTTTCAGGAGCTTGCTCATCCTTGTAAGTTTTTGTACTTCTGAGTCTTCTCCAAGAGGAGATGCTTCAGTTCTGGGAAACAGCTCCACAACACACACCTTGCATGTTCTTCATAGATGTGGAGAACACCTGCTCCTGCTCAGGCCAGCCTAAGTTAGTACTTACACTTAGGGTCACATGGAGCAGCTGCCCTCATGCTTGGTCACTGACTGTATTCCTAACCAAAGGGTTACGCTACAGAACAGCCTGTGCATTGAATGTGTGTGGTGCTGTAGGTTCTCCTGAGTCTCTGAGAAGACCTGTCTTTGAAGCCTAGGCCTAATCTAGCTGTGCTGGGGTCCAGACCTAACTCAGGAACCAAGTGATCTAGGCCAAATCTCTTTGCCCTTCTGTGCTTCACATTGCCTATAAAGGGAAGCCAAGATGATGCCCACAGTAGTTAAAAACCCGCATTCCTCACGATCAACAGCTTTGATGCCAGGGTCTACCCACAAAAAAGTATATTTGAGCATCCAGAATACATTCTAGAAAGTTCCTAGTAGCATTATTCAATTGCTTATTAACAGCTGAATCAGTAAATTGGGATAGTCATGGAGAGAATGAACAATTTATAACCAAAAGCAGCAATAGAAATGTATCCAAGGCATAATGTTGAGTGAAAACAAAAACAAAATCAGACACAAAGGAGCACATAGCCTCTGTACTCACAGAAAGCCCCAGAAGAGAAATAAATCTATAATACTAGAGGTCAGCATGAATGACCTCTAGCACTGATTTTGCTGTTAGCAAAGTCCAGGTGTTGGTACAATAACTGGCCCTCAGAGGGGGCACCATTAGAGTGGAGGAGGGAGCATGAATGGGCTGTTGGAGCCCATGGTCTGGTTCCTGATCTGCATCTAGTTG